GATGCCTGTCCTGGATCTCGCTCTGTAGACAAGGCTGGCATTGAACTCACAGAGATCCACCTGCCTCTGCCTCCTGAGTGCTGGGATTCAAGGCGTGTGCCACCACCGCCTGACAAAAATTTTTTCTTTTTTTTTTTTAAAAACTCCAAACACTGTCAAACCATTCTTTTTTTTTAATTATTAATTTTTATTTACTTTACCTACCAACTACAATTTCCCCTCCCTTTTCTCCCATTCCACCCCCCCCACCTCCTTTCTATCCCCACCCCATCCACTCCTCAGAAAGGGGCAGGCCTCCAATGGGAGTCAACAAAGCATGGCACCTCAACAAAGTTGAGGCAGGACCAAGCTCCTCCCCCTGCATCAAGGCTGAGCGACGCATCCTACCATAGGGAATAGGTTCCAAAAAGCTAGCTCGTGCATCAGGGACAGATCCTGGTCCCACTGCCAGAGGCCCCATAAACAGACCAAGCTACACAACTGTCACCCACGTGCAGAGGGCCTAGGTCGGTCCCATGCAGGCTCCCTAGCTGTGGGTCTAGAGTCCGTGAGCTCCCGTGAGCTCCCATGAGCTCAGGTCAGCGGTCTCTGTGGGTCTCCGCCTTTGACCCCCCCTCCCCTTCTCAAGCCATTCTTATGTGTGTCAGTTGTGGCGAATGATGACTAAAGGTAACTTTAGGCAACTGGGCTGCAGTCAGGCTTGGAAGGAGGACAGTGTGGGTCTCCTGGCCCCAGTACCTCGTAGGCAGCCTCTCCCGCAGTGAGTTTGAGTTTAGAGTGAGAACATGGCTTTGCCAAATACGAATCTGTGCTCCACCACTGACTAGACTGGTTTCCTTTCCTCTTTTTTCTTTTTCTTTTTGTCTTTTTTTCTTTCTTGTTTTCTTTCTGTCCTTCCTTCCTTCCTTCCTTCCTTCCTTCCTTCCTTCCTTCCTTCCTTCCTTCCTATGAGACAGAGTCTCACTACCTAGTCCAGGCTGTCCTGGAACTCACTTTGTAGACCAGGCTGGCCTTGAACTCACAGAGATCTACCTGCCTCTGCCTCCTGAGTGCTGGGATTAAAGGCGTGCACCACCACCATGTCTGGCACCACTGGATAGCTTTGCTAGCTCTGTGACCTGAAGGAGGCTGGTGGCCTTCCTTAAAACTCAGTTTCTTCTTTTGAAAGACATTGATGCCAGGCACAGTTGCCCACTCCAGAGCAGCCTTAGCACTTAGAGGTTAAGGTAGAAGGATAAGCTTCAGGCTCGTTTGGGCTACACAGGGAGACTCTGTCTCAAAAAGCAAGTACCTTGCAGGAGATTTGGAGCTTAACTAAGGTGGGTACTGGGTGCTTAATAAATTGAGACAATAAGTTGAGTAGATATCAACTCAGGAAGCCACTCTGCCTGTTGTAGAAGTGAAAGACCTCTCCCAATGTGTTCCAAAGCCACATAGTTCAGATTTGAGGTAGGTAGCTATTTTGGGCCAGAGGGTTAGCTTGGGAAGACTTCCTGGAGGAGAGGAGTTTGAAGTCAGATGAGGGGCATGGGAGAGATGGTAAACTCACGGGCCTGTTGGCTCAGGGTCCTGCCTACCCTTCTCCCTAGGACTGCGCCCAGGGCACGGCTAATTGTGTGGTGTTCAGCTGCCCACTCTACAGCTTTGATCGCGCGGCAGTGCTACATGTCTGGGGTCGCCTCTGGAACAGCACCTTTCTGGAGGTGAGGGCACCACGGAGGTTCCAGGCTGAGTGTCTTCGGCGAAAATCCCCTCGGTGCTTACTCTTCCCCGTCCAAATGCAGCGCTCTCCAAAGCCAAGCCAGGCGGAAGCACCCTCTCTGCACTGGCACTATTCCATCTGTAATCTCAATGGCTGGAGAGGGTTGAGGGGAACACGGGCATTTAGACGTCTCCTTCTCCATCCCTTAGGAGTACATGGCCGTGAAGTCCCTGGAAGTGATCGTCCGTGCCAACATCACAGTGAAGTCCTCTATCAAGAACTTGTTGCTCAGAGATGCATCCACAATGGTGAGCTGCCCGTGGGTGGGCGCAGGTGGGGGGCTCTTCCCCTTCCCACTCACTCCAGCTTTTGCCCTGTTCACTCCTCGTTTCTCAGATCCCAGTGATGGTGTACTTGGACCCTATGGCTGTGGTGGCAGAAGGAGTCCCCTGGTGGGTCATCCTCCTGGCAGTACTGGCTGGGCTGCTGGTGCTGGCCCTGCTGGTGCTGCTGTTGTGGAAGGTGAGGCTTGGGGAGGGATGGAACCAGTGTGAACTGGAATTAGAGTAAGGTGGTTAGCCTCTCACCCACACATGCATTCATCTAGCAACTCTACCTTGAACACTTACCCTGCCCGCCCCAGGAACTCCATCTGCCCTGGATGTTTTCAGAGCGGATTCCAGTGTGGATCTTGTCCTCAAGGATTGTGTAGTCTAGTGGGAGTCGGAGAGCCTTGTAGTTAAGGACAAGAGGAAGGTGTTGAGTTGAGACGGTGGGAACTCAGAGGAAGGCAGGCTTTGGAGGATGATTCCCTGGAGCGGGGCCTTAGATGGGGAAGTGGTAGGATAGGGGTGTGGGTAGATGGGAGGAGTGGCATGTGAGACTTCCAGAATAACCAAGGTAGATAAAGCCACAGGAGTAGAAAGTGTGGTCCGATTTAACCAGAGTTGTGGCAGCAAAGGTTGGGAAGGAAACTGTGATCAAGGCCAGCAACGTGGAGCACTAGCTCCAGGGAACTGCTTGGAGCTGACTGGAGCTGCCACATACGGAACCGTTCTTGTTCTGGCAGAGCAGGGACAGAATCCTATTGACCCAACATAAACACACACATGCACATGTCGGTGCAGGGGATCTCATGTCCCACCAGGACCCATCCCTGAGCCACATGCCACATGTGGGGCTTGTGCAGAACAGAGCACATCCTTGGGGCTCTGTCGACTGCCCTGCCCACCGGCTGTGACAAGTGTGCGTGCATCATCGGTGTACCAGCTCTGGAGCGGCATCAGTGCTGTTGAGGAGAACTTGCCCAGTTGTCTTGGGGATGGTTAATGCCTTCAGGATTGGCCTCAGGACACCTGTCTCATCCACTACTCCCACAGAAGGGAGACAGGCAGATATAAAGGCCTCCTCCCTCCTCAGCCTTCCCATCCTCTGCCTCTGTCCCCTTCTCAACATCCCAGTGTGGCTTCTTCCGTCGAAACAGTCCAAGATCATCATTTCCAACCAATTATCACCGAGCCCATCTGGCCGTGCAGCCCTCGGCCATGGAAGTCGGGGGTCCAGGGACTGTGGGGGTAACTGTTGTGTGTGCATGTGTATATGCAAACATGCGCGTGTATCTGTGTGTGTGTGTGTGTGTGTGTGTGTGTGTCTAAGTACAGATCCAGCATTGGGAGGGGGGTCAGGAATGTGCAAGGTAAAGAGGGGAGTGTGCATAAGGGTAATGAGGGACCGAATATTTGAGGTAAGGAGTAATCAGAAGGGTGAGGCTGTAAGTGTGAGCATACATAGCCCAGCAGCATGCACAGGGAGTGAGTGGGCCAGGAGTGTGTCAGCATGTGGGCATGTGGGGTTCCATGCATGCCTTTTCTGTGGGAATGAGTGTGCAAAGATGATTGTGCAAGGAGATTCTGTGCCATCTGAGCATGCAGGAGTCTTGGCTGTTCTGAATTTCAGTATGCAAGGCCCAACATGACCTTGTTAGGTGAGGGGTTAGATTCATGGATGCAAGAGCCCTGGCCTAAGGGATGCTATTCAGTGTACATGCACACAGGTATATGTCTGCGAGGCTGGACGGTCATCATTCTGGGTATTCGAGAGGTCTGGGACACTGTTTTATCCCTTGGATCTTGTGTTCTGGGAGAAGCTTGGGTGGGAGAGAAAAGCTTGTGAAGTCCTGAGGTTCAGCTTCCAGCCTCTCCTCCAGGGACCAAGGGAGATCTCCTTGGTTTTACACTTTTGGTTTCCTTCTGGTCCTCTGGCTGTGAATGAGAACCTTGGACCCTGGTACTGATGGGTAGCAAGCCCGGGGGCTGCCCGCTGTGCTGGAATTTGGCCAGCTTACCTCACTTTTGTTTCAGCTGGCTCTTTCTAGCTCAGGCATGGCGAGGGGCTTCTAGGGGCCTCAGCCTAGCAGGCTTCTCATGGTCTGTCTTGGTGTCCTTACAGCTGGGATTCTTCAAGCGCGCAAAGCACCCCGAGGCCGCTGTGCCCCAGTACCACGCAGTGAAGATCCTCCGGGAAGACCGTCAGCAGTTCAAGGAGGAGAAGACGGGCACCATCCAGAGGAGTAACTGGGGCAACTCCCAGTGGGAGGGCTCTGATGCGCACCCCATCCTGGATGCCGATTGGCACCCTGATCTGGGTCCCGATGGAACTCCCGTGCCAGTCACTGCCTAGCTTCCCTTGCTCCAGGCCCGGCCTGCGGGTCCCTTTCACCCTTCCCCAAGATGGCTCCTGGGGATGGAGTAGGTTGGTGGCGTCACGTTGAGATTCAGCAAGCTCTACTTCCTCAGGGGCACAGACCTCTCCCACCATGAGAACCACCCCTCCGACTTCCCCTTAGAATGCTGTGAGACGAGGGGGCGTATCAGGGATGGGCTGCGGGGCACGGCTGGAAGGTGCAGGATGGGGAGTAGGGGTCCTGGTCTCCCTTTCTCACCCGCCCTGTGTAGCACGTCTCCCCAAAGTGCCTTAGACAGAGGGTCAGGGAGGAGATTGTGTCACTGTCTCAGGGGCTCTTCCCTCCATAGCCCGCCCTGTCCTCCGACCTTAGCTGTACCAGCCTAGTGGTTTTTGTCTATTTATTAAAAAGTATTTGACAGCCAGGCGGTGGTGGCGCACGCCTTTAATCCCAGCACTCGGGAGGCAGAGGCTGCTGGATCTCTGTGAGTTCGAGGCCAGCCTGGGCTACCAAGTGAGTTCCAGGAAAGGTGCAAAGCTACACTGAGAAACCCTGTCTCGAAAAACCAAAAAAAAAAAAAAAAAAAAAAAAAGTATTTGACAATAAAAACTTTGTTTTATTGAGTGCTGTTCTCTCATCCTGAGGGTTTGCCTTCTCTCTGTTCCTCTGAAGCTCAGGACAGAATGGGCAGTAGGGAGGGAGGCTGAGGTGGTCTGGCAGGTCTGGCAGGGAATACGTGCATTGGCTTGTGACTAGTTCCAAGGGGCACATGGGTGTCGTCTCAAAAGAACAGCAGTGAGAACTTCACCACGGGGACAAAGGGAGAATAGGGGTCCTAGAAGGTGGGTGGGCAAAGTCCAGGGCTTTGCAGTTGACAGTATGGCACTGTATAGTTTTATACCTCTGGAGAAAGCAGGGAGGAAAGCCTCACTGTGTAAGAGGAACTGAGGCTGCTGGTCATCTCAGCAGCAGTGCTGAGGAGGTTCTCTCATTCTTTACCTCACTGGGGTGGCTCTGACTACAGGCAGGGAGGGAGCAGATGGGCTCCTGGGGGAGGGTTATTTCACAGCTTTTCCCATGATGTGGGGCCCAACAGGTAACCACTTGAAGGGAGGGGGCTGCCATTCCATTTGGACATTAAAGAACCCTGCCTTCTCAAGGTCCTTCCAGGTCTCTCTGGTGAGGTGGCAGCCATCCCCGATGTGTTTCCAGGTGGGCTCAAAAACTCGCTGCCACAGGAAGCCCCAGCTTCCCCGAGGCTCAGCCACGTGCTCCCAGAAGAACAGCAGTCCTCCCTGGGAGGGAGGAAGGAGGGAGTTAAGGTCACTTATCTACTCCACGTTGCTCTTTTGGTCTCACGCCCCCTTCCTTCTCTCAGACCCAGCTTGTCAGATCTCTCTGAAGTAAGAGCTTCTGGCCTGAGAGTGTACGGAACAAAGGGCTCCTGCCCTCCTCACACCCTCACAGTGCTTGTAAGGAGCTTCTGGTAACTGGGCGGCCGTGACTGGTGAGAGAGATCTTCACAGAACGACTACGAGGACCGTACGGAGGGGAACAGGAGACACTGAGGGTTTGTCCAGGCGTGGGACCTTCCAGCACTGTGACACGACACTTGTTGTCTACCATGTTCACCCTCAAGAACTTTGTGATTAAGTTACGAAAAGGCACCCAAAAAAGTCTCACTGTATTTTAAACACATTTACAGTTTTGTGTTGGGTCACTTTCATAGCTAACCAGGGGCTGTGGGTTAGACATACCTGCTAGATAGAGACATGATCCCAGCCTCTCCTGAGACTCTGGTGTCCAGTACAACCAGGATACCCCAGGGTTCTGGCTACTGCAGGGCTTCCTCAAGCGCCGCCCCCCTCCTCTTCCCAGGGGTTTCATTCACTCCCATACTGAATTACCACTAAAAGGTCATACTGGCCATAGCTCTTTTTTTCCAGGCCACATCATGTCCTGATTTTCTAACGACCCGTGTGGCTTCTCCGCATGGATGTCTTAGCAGATCCTGAGACCCAACCGGTTCAGAACAGTTTTGCCATTCCAGCAAGTGGCCATTTCATCCACTCCCCCTTCTGTGGTGCGAGCCAGAAACTTTGGAAATTGCCCTAAATTCCTTTCTTTCCACACCCAGCTCAACCTCTCAGAGACCGTACTCCCCCTGACATTTCTACTCAAAACCTTCTGTTCCCCCACCTCCTCCGCAGCATAACGCTTCATTTTAAACCTCACCGTCTTCCGTGTCTTCACAGCTCCCTCCCCACTGCACTGAGCACACTCCCCTGTGTTTCCTAATAGCATCCTATTGTCCCACACAGATCCTAGACCGCAGGCCATTCTGATGGCGTATTCTGCTGTCAGAGGGTAAGCTACATCAGCTTCCCGGGATTCCCCATCCGGGGTCCTGAACGCCGGAGCTGCCAAGGCCGGACTCACCTGCCCCAGGCCCACACCCTTGCTACTTTGCTTACCGGCTTCAGGACTCTCTGGATTTCCTGCAGGACCTTTTTGGGGCTCTGTACAGAACACAGCACCAGGGTGCAGACCACCACGTCCATGGAGCCGTCCGCCAGCTGTTTCATGTCCTCTCCATAAGCCACGATGAAGCGCTCGTACTGGAGGTGCCTGTTCTCAGCCATGCTCTTTGTGAGGAACTTCTCGAAGTTGGGGTTTGGGTCCACGCAGGTGACCTTGCAGTCAGACGGGTAGAACTGGAAGTTAGCACCGGTGCCACAGCCCAGCTCCAGCAGGGCCACTTTCCCGGAGGTCCCCTTAAGATCACTTATCTGGCTAAACAGTTCCCGTTTCTTGCCTTCCATCTTTTTGTTGGAGCTTTTTGTTAACTTGGCCATCAAGTAGGGGAAGTAGGTTTTGCACATGGGCTGCCAGTAGCCCAGCAGAGCCAGCAGGTGCAGCGGAAGTGTGAGGAGCAGCACCAGCAGCTGCAGGAACGGGACCAGCACATCCATGATGCCCGCTCTAGCTGGTGCGTCCCGGGACACTGGCTTTTTGCCTCTGCTGGTCTGGCAGATGTAAGTCTCCCGTCCTCCCATGGCAGGACTTTGCTCCCTGACTCCTGCCTGGTAATCCTCTTTCCTGGGTGGAGCGTGTGTATGAAATTCTTCCAGTAGCATGGGTCACACAGCCCCACAGGCTCTTCAGAAGTTTTATGTGGGTGAAGGACCACGGCAGTGCCTATGTCACCGTGTGATGGGCAGATGAATAGCGTTGAGCATGCTGACTTACCTCAGAGGAGGGGAGGAAGGGGGCCTGGGGACCTGTTTCAGATCATGGCCTCACAAAGACCAGAGGCTGGAGGCAAAGCTGACTCATTGTCTTCAGGTCTGTCCAGGTTGTGCAACCCAGAAATTCTGTTTGGATTCCCCTACCACACCCCCTCGGATTTTACGACCAGCAGCATGCCTTTGCCCTAAATGGGGACCAAGCGTTATGCCTGTAAGCCCCTCGAGACACTCAGGTGGTCAGGGCCCTCCCCTGAGGACCCCAACGGCCACAATGGCCGTCCCCGGCCCCTCTAGACACGGGAGTCCAAGCTCTGGATTCGAAAACCTACCAATCCCTGGGCTCACCCCAAGCTCAAGACTTGAAATGCCACCAGTCCCCACCCTGGAAAGCTCCATCCCCAAGAAACTGCATAAACCCCATCTCCTGCCAGTTCTCCGGTTCTCCGCTGCTTCTTGCCGGAGCAGAGGCCGCTGCCCTCCCTGGTTCTTCCCTCCTGGGTTTTTCTTGTGTGACTCTGCGGTATTCCTTGGCTCCTGACTGCCAGGCTTCCTTTCCCTTCAGAGCTGTAACTCTTCCATTGAGAAAGACTTTTCCCTCAGAGCTCTAACACAATGTACAGGGTTAGGCCCGATTGGTCATGAGAAGGAGGGAGGTTACGGGTCAGAAGAAAGGCTCTGGGATTGGAAACAGGCCTCAGCAGGAGAGCACTGGCCTGCTGTGCTCGAGGCTCCGCACTGAAAGAGGGCACTTAGAATAATAAAAAAACCCTTTATTATATGTATGCATATATATATACACATGCATATATATTATATTCATATATGTATATACATAGGTATGTATGTATGATGTGTTTGTATGTATGCTCTTGAGTGTGTGTGCATGCTATGGTACAGTTCTGGAGGTCAGTTGGTAACTCCTTGTGGACAGTCTCAAGGGCTGCACAGCAATGGCGCCGTGACCAGGTTCTTTCTCTCTTTATCTTTTTTGTTGTTGTGTTGGGCTGGGGTGGGGGTTGCTAGGCAAGGGCTCCACCGCTGAGCTATAAACTCAGTCCCTCGAGACACTCAGGTGGTCAGGGCCCTCCCCTGAGGACCCCAACGGCCACAATGGCCGTCCCCGGCCCCTCTAGACACGGGAGTCCAAGCTCTGGATTCGAAAACCTACCAATCCCTGGGCTCACCCCAAGCTCAAGACTTGAAATGCCACCAGTCCCCACCCTGGAAAGCTCCATCCCCAAGAAACTGCATAAACCCCATCTCCTGCCAGTTCTCCGGTTCTCCGCTGCTTCTTGCCGGAGTGGTTTAAAATATGTTGATATAAATGTTGGAGGTGGGTGGGGCTCAGTGGGTCGAGGGCTCACTGGGCATGCAGGAGGCTCCGTTCCTAGAACTGAAGAAACCAGGTGACACATGCCTCTCATCCTAGAGCTTGGGAAGGAGGCAGGAGGATCAGGAGTTCAAAGTCAGCCTTGTCCAGGTAGTGAGTTCCAGTCCAGTCTAGGTTACATGAGGCCCCCACCCATCTCTCTCTCTCTCTCACACACACATACTCAATAAGTATCCGATATCTTGCGTCTTAGTTAGGGTTTCTATTGCTGTGAAGAGACACCATTCTCATGAAGGAGAATCATTTAATTGGGATGCTTATATTTTCAGAGATTTAGTCCGTTATCATCATTGTGCGACATGGTGGTATGCAGGCAGACATGGTGCTGAGCAGGAGCTGAGAGTCCTTACATCTTGACTCACAGGCATCAGGAAGTGGTCTGAGATACTGGGCATGGCTTGAGCATATATGAGACCTCAAAACCCACCCCCACAGTGACACACTTCCTCCAACAAGGCCAAATCTACTCCAACAAAGCCACACCTCCTAATGGTGGCACTCCCTGTGAGCTTATGGGGGTCAATTACATTTAAACCACCACACCTTGCAAGTTTATTCTTATTTCACTGTCTTTTAATTTATATATGTATGTGTATATATATATTATTGAAAATAGAGTCTTCTCTCATACAATACATCCCAACTACAGTTTCCCCTCCACCCGCCCCTCCCAGCTCCCCCTATCATCTCCCCTCTTCCCTGGATCCACTCCCTTTCTATCTCCCATCAGAAAAGAGCAGACCTCCAAGAGACAACAACCAAATATGACAAAACAAAATACAATAAGGCAAGGCAAGAGCCCTCTGAACAATGCTGGACAAGGCAACCCAGCAGGAGGAAGAGAGTCCCAAGAGCAGGCAAAACAAGTCAGAGACACATCCACTCCCAAAGTTAGGAGACTCACAAGAACACCAAGCTAACGGCCACAACATTTACGCAGAGCACCTATGCATACCCTGTTTCTCTGTGTAGCCCTGGCTGTCCTGGAACTTACTCTGTAGACCAGGCTGGCCTCGAACTCAGAGATCTGCCTGCGTCTGCCTCCTGAGTGCTGGGATTAAAGGCGTGCACCACCATGCCTGGCCTTATCATCTTTTTGTTGTTTATTAGAAATCTCTGTTATTTGTTTCGTATAATTGATTGTTGCTTCATTTATTATCACTATTGATTTCTGTATACCTATTTTTATGAGGTCACCTTACTAAATTCTCTCTCTCTGATTCAGAGTTTCTCTGTGTTGTCCTGGCTGTGCTGGAATTCCTTCTGTAGACCAGGCTGGCCTTGAACTCAGAGTTTCACCTGCCTCTGCTTCCCGAGTGCTGGGATTAAAAGTCTGCACCACTATGCTGGGCTACAAAGACTATTTTTAAAGACAGTCTTACAATAACAGCAAAATCAAGAGAGAGAGAGAGAATTTCCTGTTTAGATCTGCCCCACAGATGCACAGCCTCTACCAAGAGCTCAATGGCTACATCATGCCTGGAGGACAGCACTTCACAGCTACACCCCAAACATCATGTCAGTCATTTCACCTGGAGGACAGCACTTCACAGCCAACTATACCCCAAACATTGTGTCATTTCACCTGGAGGACAGCACTTCACAGCCAACTACACCCCAAACATCGTGTCAGTCATTTCACCTGGAGGACAGCACTTCACACCCCAAACATCATGTCAGTCATTTCACCTGGAGGACAGCACTTCACAGCTACACCCCAAACATCATGTCAGTCATTTCACCTGGAGGACAGCACTTCACAGCGACACCCCAAACATCAAACATCTTCTCTTTCTCTTTCTCAAACTTTACTTTTTTATTACATTTTCAAAATAAAAAATTTAATATCGCATGTTGTGTGCTTGTGCGTGTGTGCGCGCGCGCGCACATGCACATGCACACACCAAGGTTCACATGTGGAGGTCAGAGGACAGCTTGTTGGGGGTCAGCTCTTCTGCCGTGTGGTTCTGCGTGTCGAACACAGGTTGTCAGTTTTGGTGGCAGGAACCTCTCCTGGCTGAGTCACCAGCCCACTTTGCCTTTTTAAAGGAGGTGTAATTAAATAAAACAAATTAAATAAAACTCACACGCGGTATTGGTCTGAGGCTGTGGCTCAGTTGTAGGCTGCTTAGTTAGAATGCACGAGACCCTGTGCTTTAGCCCCAGTCCTGCTTAAACTGTGTACAGTGTAGCACACGCTTATAGCCCAACACTCGGAATGGTGACAGGACTCATGTTTTCTTTTCCCCCCAGTTCTGCCTGTGTGAGCTACCCCTAAGCCCTGTCAGCTCTGCTTCCTGACTTGGTAAGATCACACACTTCCTTCATCTCTGTTGATCTGGCGTGACCTTGCCAGACCACGACCCTCCCCTGGCTGGCACACTGTGTCTCTTGTCTCGTGACTGACTTCTTCACTGCCACCCTCTCTTCTCTCCACTCTCTAGTGAATTCCCACGGTCTTCAACACAAGGCCTGAACTCCTTGGTGCTGCTCATAGAGCCACGCATGTGATGGCCTCTGCTCACGCCTCCTGCTACGGCCTCTTGCTGTTCAGATGGAAACATCCCTCAGTTCCTCATACTCTCGCTCCTTTTAGCTCTGGGGTTCAAGTCAAATCTAGTCAAGATTAGGCAGGCTAGGGTCTGCAGGAGCTGGATCTCCTAGATGGAATGGTGGGAGAGGTCCGGTCAGTGAGCACAGGTCAGGCCAGAAATCTCGTAAGGCAGGTGTGGACTTGGGGCGGGGACTGGGGCTGGGCTCTCAACTTGGAGGGTCAGGGATCGGTGAGCACCAGGAATGGGGCAAGGTTTAGGACCAGGGTAAAGGTCAGGGTCTGTAAGCAGTTAGAGCAAATACCGTTCCTGCAATTCAAGGCAATACTTGCACATTTCAAAAGGGTGGATGTTAAACTGCCCTGCACTAGATTTTAAGTTTCCTCTAGTCAGAAGGACACTCACAGGGAGCATGAGGAAGAGTGACTGAGGAGCGTATGGCTCCCAGAACCCTGTGGGCTTCTTGTGTTAAATACATCTGTGCGCAGTGTACGACTCCTGCCTGCTGACCTTCTGTGTTCTAAGATGATGTTTTATTATTCCCAGAAAAAATAATTGAAGCCACCAGGTATGAGTTACAGCACAATGTGCATGTGTTAGAATACGCTGTAACCCCATTTTCTCTGTTGTCAGAGAGAGAGAGTACTGGAGTCTGCACCCATGGCTTGGAAGCCCCGAGAGACCTACAATCCCTAACCAGCTCAGCCAAAGATCCCTCAACGCAACGACATTACAGTTAGTATCCTGCAAAGAATAGAGTACACTTTTTAACATTAGGAATGATGCAGGATTTCTGGAGCACACCTTTGATCCCAGCACTTGGGAGGCAAAGGCAGGTAGATCTCTGAGTTTGAGGCCAGCCTGGTCTACAGAGTGAGATCAAGGACAGCCAGGGCTACACAGAGAAAAACCAAAAACAAAAGAGGGAATGACACGTGGTTTCTTAATATAAAACTAAGTTTTATTGATTTGGGTGAAAAATCAATCCATGCTATGACGCCATGTGCTTGCTTCCCAGGTGGCTTGGCGTCGAATGTGGAACTGGAGACGGCTCCTCCCCCATTAGGATCTGATGAAAGCTGGACAGACAAAGTTCTGGTGTGATTTGGCCAAAATCTGGAGCTTGAACATGGATTGAGAGAAAGAAAAGGTCTGTGTGAAACCCCCTCTCTATAAAACACCTGGATGTGGAAGGGCTCCTTGGCAGAGAGGCAGAGAATGAGTTATGTAGAGAAGGCCATAACTTCTGGTCTCATTTTGAAGTGCTCTGTAAAGGTTCCCCGGGCCAGACAAGAGAGGAGCAGTGTGAGGGGGGTAACTTGCTCCAGGCCTGAAACAGGAAGCAGGACACCAACTGGGGGTGGGGTGGGGGAGGGGCACACTTCCCTACGAGTTTGGTAGGAGGATCCAGCTTCGAACCATTGAGCTGAAACTATCCTGGCAGGAAAGAATGAGACTAATTTACCTGAATTCTAACTCTTTTCCTCTTGTAGGGGAGCAAAGAACTCCCCAGCGAGGAAGCAAGAAGAGGCCATGAGAAGGATGGCCTGGGCCTGTGTCCAGGAAGGGCCTCAAGTAACTCTGCTGATATTAACAGAGGCACATTATCCTTGCATTTTGTATTAGTTATTTTTCTCATTGTGACAAAATGTCCATCAAAAACAGCTTAGGGAAGGATTGGTTCTGGCTCACAGTCTAAGAACGAAGGGATTCAGGGCCTTATGAGGGAAGGCAGGGAAGCAGGAGGCAGCTGGTTACATGGTGTCCACCGTCAGGAAGCAGAGATGAAAGCTGGTGTTCAACGCCCTCTTTCTCCTTTTCCCCAGCCCATGGGATGATGTCACCCACACTCAGGGTGGCTCTTCCTTCTTTAGTTAAACTTTGCTGGAAAACTTTCCCATAGACATGTTAGAGATGTGTTTCAACAGATCTTAAATCCAACGAAGCTGCTAACGAAGATTAACCATCACATATACATCAGCTGTATTAAACATTTTGGCTGTGTGTGTTGGCTCCCACCTTTAACCCTCATCCCAGGCTGCAGAGGCCAACCTGATCTACAGAGAGAGTTCCAGGCCAGCCTGGGCTAAAGAATGGGTCCTTATCTCAAAAAACAAAACAAAACAAATTTTGGTTGGGGAGCTGGAGAGATGGCTCAGTAGAGGATTCCAGTTTGGTTCCCAGTGTGCACACAGGGCAGCTCACAACCGTCTGTAACTCCACAGGATCCAACACTCTCTTCTGGTCTCTGTGGGCATGGGCATCTGCACACTTGTGGCATTCACCCCCCCCCCCCCACACCTCCCCCCTCCACACGTACACATACAATAAGAACATTTAAGAGGCAGGTGGATCTCAGTGAGTTTGAGGCCAGCCTGGTCTATGTAGCTAATACCAGGCCAGCCAGGGTTACATAGTGAGACCCTGTCTAAAAATTTGTTTAAGTAAAAATATTTGTTTTTGGTTGGTTGGCAATAAACATCAAAAGTACAACCCTCCTGAGGGACCCCTTGCTGCCATTTCTTCATTTAAAATATATCTACAGCATGAAAAAAGAAGATATTTAGTTCTCTACCTCTCCAGCGTCCGATTGGCCTGCCCGCCACAAGCAGCTTATGGACAGAACGTGAATCAGCTGTGGCAGTTTCCAATGTTGCCCATGATTCTGCGCGTTCTGAAACAAAACTGCATGCCCCCTTTCAAGACAGGCGTACACTGCATTGACACAGTGAGCAACACACTCAGGCACCAATCCGCCAACAGCCCAAGAGGTCCTCACCTCACCCTGTGCCGACCCACTCCACTCTAGCCTGGCAACTCTGGCCTCATGAAGGGGCTGCTGCACTTCCCTGCCGTTGGTACCCTGGCTCTGGGGAGATAGATAGGGACATTCTAAGGCTTCTTAGCTCGGGGTCTGATGGAGGCTGACTGAATCCTCAGAAACTTTTAGGGTTCTCTGTCTCTCTAATTTGTGATGTAAATTTTGTTGTGTAAAGTAAGGTATACAACATATGGTATGTGATACATCTAGATAGTAAAACGGCTACTGTACTGAAGCAAGCTGGCATGCCCATCATTCCACAGAGTTTCTCCATTTGGAGTTACAAGAGTGGCTAAAATCTATTCATTTGAATACAGTGTATTATAACTATAGTCTTCATGTTGCATATTGGATCTCTAGACTAGTAGAACTTGCCTGCTACTTTGTAGCCTTTGACCTACTATCCCATTTCTTCCTAATCCACTGGGGTAACCACTGTTTAAAGTTTTGAGGGCTGGATGTGGTGTTGCATGCCTTTAATCCCAGCACTTGGGAGGCAGAGGCAGGAGAATCTCTCTGAGTTCAAGGATGGTCTGGTCTACATAGTAAGCTCCAGGAAAGCCAGGACTACAAAGAGAGACCCTGTTTTATTTTTATTTTTTTTTTAAATAAAAGTTTTGAGGGTCTAGTGTTGGTAGTGAACTTGGGTGGCAAAGGCAGGTGGATTTCTATGAGTTTGTGGTTAGCTTGGTGTCTTTGTTAGAGACACCATGATCACGGCAACTTTCACAAAGAAAACATTTAATTGAAGGGGCTCGCTTACAGTTTTAGAGGTTCAGCCCATTATCATCATAATGAGGAGCATGATGGTGTGCAGGCAGAGGTGGTGTTGGAGCTAAGAGTGCTACATCTTGCAGGCAATAGGAAGTTGACTCACTCATTGGGTGGTATCCTGAGCATAGGAAACCTCAAAATCCACCCCCACAGTAATGCACTTCTTCCAACAAGGCCATATGCACTCCAACAAAGCCACACTTCCTAATAGTACCCCTGCCTATGAGATTATGGGGGATAATTACACCCAAACTACCACATTTCGTTCCCTGGCCCCCATAAGCTTGTAACAATATCATAATGCAAAATGCATTTGGTACAACTTCAAAAGTCCCCATAGTCTATCACAGTCACAACTGTTTAAAAGTCCAAAGTTCAAAGTCTCTTCTGAGATTCATGCAATCTCTTAATTGTAATCCCCTGTAAAAATCAAAATCAAAAAGCAGATCACATACTTCCAACATATAAAGGTACAGGATATACATTACCATTCCAAAATTCAGAGAAGGAAGAATAGCAAGGAATACTGGACCAAAGCAAGACTGAAAACCAGCTGGGCAAACTCCAAGCTCTGCATCTCCATGTCTGCTGTCAAAACGCTCTCCACATCTCCAACTTCATTCAGCTCTGTTGACGGCAATCCACTTCTTTCTCTTGGGCTGGTTCCACTGCCTGTTAGCAGCTCTCCTCAGCAGGTATCCCATGACTCTGGCATCTCTAACATCTTGGGTTCTCTAAGGCAATCCAGGCTTCAACTTTACAGCTTCACTCACTGGTCTCTCTACTAGACCTCCATTCAGGGGCACCCCTGACACATGCCTGGTCTCAGTGGCTTTATTCCATAACTCCTTTTTTCTATCCATAACTCTAAAGCCAGAACTATGTGGCTGAGGCTGCCAAGTTCTGCTGCTTGCTGGGGCTGGAACACAACCCCTTCATTCAATGACATCTTCACCAGCTTTCTGTCTTTCACTGCCTAAGTTTGGCTGTCCTGAAACTTGCTCTATAGAACTCAGAGATCTGTTAGCCTCTGCCTTCCAAGTGCTGGGATTAAAGGCAGGCACCACCACATCTAGCTCTAAACTTTCCTTTAGCTACTTTTCACAATTTGGAAACTTAGCCAGGTGGGATCTTGCCCTGAGGTGACCACTCTCTTTATTCCATTTCTTAATTGTTTATCTTCTTGAACACAGGATTTTGCTCCATTCCACTTCCTGGTGCTCTTTTTCTACTCAAAATTTACTTTTTGTAATTTACCATGCTCAACTTGGTCCTTTTCATTATAAAACTTCATTAGAGTTACCACTAATAACCACAGGAAGAATCTATACTAGGCTGTTTTGAGATTTCCTCTGTGAATGGAATTAATCCAAAACTCTTCACTTTAGTCTCAGGCAGACTCTTTGGACAAGGGCAAAAGGCAACCACTTTCTTCACCAAAATATCACAAGAATGATTTCTAGGCAACATACTAAAATTCTTCTCCACTGAAACCTCTTGAGTGAGTCTCCCACAATTCAAATAAATCTTAGCACCTCTGTCTTTCAAGCTTCTACTATTATGACCCATTAAGCAGTTTTTTAAAGCATTCTGCTGCTTTCATAACCCAAAGTACCAAAGTCCAAAAATCTCCAGACAAACACATGGTCAGGCCTATCACAGCAATAACCCATTCCCAGTACCAACTTCTGTCTTAGGGTTTTTATTGCTGTGAAGAGACACTATGACCCCATGGCAACTCTTGTAAAGAAAACATTTAAATTGGGTGGCTTGCTTACAGTTTCAGAGGTTCAGTCCATTATCATGGCAGGGAGCATGGCAGTGTGCAGGCAGATGTGGTGCTGGAGCTGAGAGTGCTACATCTTTCAGGCAACAGAAGTTGAGTGACTCACTGGGCAGTATCCTGAGCATAGGAAACCTCAAAGCCTACCCTCAGAGTGACACACTTCCTCCATCAAGGTCATATCCACTCCAACAAAGCCACATCTCCTAATAGAGCCACTTTCTATGAGGTTATGGGGGCCAATTACATTCAAACTCTCATACTTGGTTTATGTAGCAAGTTCTAGGCAGGTTAGGGCTACATAGTAAGACGCTGTTTCAACAAACAAACAAACAAATAAACACCCAAATGTTTCTGTGTGTGTGTGTGTGTGTGTGCATTTCTGCAGATGGCTGTTTTGAGGATGGGTTGGTATTGGGTATTGTCTTCTATCACTCACTCTTCATGTCATTTTTTGAGACAGTGTTTCTCACTGTTAGGGTGCCTGGTTATTGATCTCCAGGGATTTGCCTATTCTCTCCCTTTCCTGTGATGAGTTATAGGTGCCTACACCCAGCTCTTACATGGGAGCTGGAGACCCAAGTTCAGGTTTTCATGCTTGGGCAGTAGGCACCTTACTGACTGAGTCATTTCCCCAGTCCCTGTTTTATTCTCTATTCCTGTGAAAAAAGTTTTTGATTCCACACAGAAGTGAGGTCATGCAGTATTTTGTTATATATATATATATTGTTATTTGTTTTTTGAGACAAGGTCTCTCTACACAGCTCTGGTTGTCCTGGAACTCACCATGTAGACCAGGCTGGTCTCAAACTCTCAGAGATGTGCCTGCCTCTGCTTCCCAAGTGCTGGGATTAAAGGCGTGTGCCACCACCATGCCCAGCTAGGATTTTTATTTATTTTTTATTTATTTTTATTTATTTATTTTTTTTTTTGGTTTTTCAAGACAGGGTTTCTCTGTGTAGCTTTGCGCCTTTTCCTGGAACTCACTTGGTAGCCCAGGCTGGCCTCGAACTCACAGAGATCCGCCTGGCTCTGCCTCCCGAGTGCTGGGATTAAAGGCGTGCGCCACCACCGCCCGGCGGATTTTTATTTTTATGTAACCTATTTCACTTGAATGATGTCTTCTGATCCTATCCATGGTGTGTCAAATGGGGGTGGGTAATATAATATCTTACTGTATTGTATATACACATTGCAGTTTCATTATCTATTTGCTGGTTAATGGACACTTGTTTTCATTCCCTGAAAAATGCTGCCGTGAAGACGGGAGTGCAAGTGTCTTCATGTGGAACCATCTCCTTTCCTCCAGGCATTACCCAGTTAGATTGCTGGGCCCTTTTGTAGTTCAATTTTTAATCTCTTTGGGCAGTGTCCTTCTAGTTCCACAGCGGCTGCTCCGATATGCACTCTCATGTTGGGTTATTTCTCTCCCGGAGTCCCAGGGGACTAGTAAAGAAATGTGATTGAAAGAGCAGAGCGGGCCGGAAGCACTTCCTGCATGGCGGAGTAAAACAAGAAGTCATTAGCAAAAATGGTCAACATCAAAGTTTCTCAGAACTCTAGCAATGAACCTAAGATGTCTCAACCCACAAAGTGATTCCCCTGCCTGTCTCCTAGAGCAATGGCTTTGTGTTGTAAGAGCAGCCAGTGTAGTGGTATTTAAGGAGTCTCATTTTCACCCTTTCCCACTTCCAGCCTCGAAACCTCAGACCCACTCTCAAACCAGCAGTGCAGGCGGTCAGCAGCTTCATGCTTCTTAAAGAGCCCATCCTCAGAGAAGGGTCTCTATTTGCCAATTGTTGGAACAGCCTCATTCACAGAGCTTGTGTTGATTTGGTTACCTCCAAAAGTCAGCAGTACTTTTAAAGTTGCCATTTTCTGGTGGTGCTGTTCACTGAAGCAAAAGACAGACTGGCCAAAGTTTATGAAGAAATTCTAGAGATGTCCGGAGGGGCCTTTTAGCAGCTCTGACTCAGTCCTGGGGATCTTGTGGCGGCACACGTACACAGTTGTGCATCGCTCACCTTCTGGCCAAGGTGCTGCTCCAGCAGGAAGTGGATTCTAGGTCAGAGGTCTAGCCTGCTAGTGCACTGAA